CATGCGGCGGTCATAACAAAATCACCTCGTGTCCGCACATCAACGACTCGAGGTACTCCCCACTGAAATCTATACCGCTATCTCACTACACAACCAGATCAAACCTAGAAGCAACCAGCACGCTTGACTTAAGTACTCACCACCACCCCACAAGTTGTTTGGTGGATACTGCTAGCTGGCCAAGGAGCCGAACAGCCGCCGAGTCCCCACAAAGACCTACCTTATCTGTGCTATACACTGCAACTTTGTACTCAAGTAGTATCCTCAGTCCACCACCTACCCAACGCAGATTCCGCAGTGCAGATGCGCAGACAAGCCGACTTGGGAAAGAGAACACCAGGATCCTGTACCGTACCAGTCGATACATGCGGAAGGGTGATTGATGTTGCATTGGTGCGGAACCCCCCTCCTCCCCTCCCCCTTCGGCCCCCGCGTCTGGGGTTAATTTGAATGCGGGCGAGGGGCAGAGAGAGAAAGAGAAGGTTCCTTGGCTATCAATTCAATAAGACGGAAATTGTTTGATGTGAGAGAATTTTTTTCTTACGCTGAATGGGTTCTGGGGGTTTAGAGTTTGTTCGAGCCCAACGTCTAACGTGAGTGGGAAAGTCGAGGTTGGTTGCTTGCCTTGGTTGTATGTACTCTATGTATGTAGATTGGTGAGGCGCGGTAGGGAAGATTAGTTTGGCTTGGTTGGAGTGAGGATGTCTTGTTAGTACTGTATCCTGTCGGTGCTTATCTGCCCCAATGAGGCAATTTGGCGTGTGATAGTAATGAGATGATGGGAGGGAGACGCGGGAAAGCCGACAAAAAAGAAAACAATTAGAGAGAGCGAAAGCGAGAGCGAGAGTGAGAGTGGTTGATGGGCGATCTTCCTGCGGCCCGGTGGACTGTGAGTATTGTCTTCTATGTAGGATGTGAACGGTGGTTGCTGAGTTTGGGGCGTTTAGAAAGATGGTAGCAATCTATCTGGAGAAAAAGGGCCAAGGGGTTGGAGGGGTAGGTAGGTACTGTAAGTTACTAGGCAGGCATTGTAGCAGCCACGGCCATGGCTGCATCGCATCGGCATTCCCGCTGAATGCAGTAATTTAGGTCGAAGATACTCTTAAGTATATTCATTGATGGAGGGACGGGAAGGGGAAAATAGCCGTTTGCAACCTAATTTGATACTGTAACTACGATGTACTCCGTACTGGCAGCATGGAAGGGAGCCGTTGTGGCAGTCACCAGGACTCGGAAATGCTATTACTTTTTTTTGTTCATTGAAACGTTCATTGAAATGTTCATTGAAACGTTCATTGAAACGGACAATCTGTACATCATTAGGTAATGCAGGCGGAGGTTTGAAGTGAAGTGAGGCTGTCGTCAATGAATTTCCCAAAAGTCAAAGATTATTTCCCCGGGGGTCAACGTAAGCGACTTAGCTACTCAGACTGGAGAAAGTGGCTTCGCTTTGTCAGAAGTCCAGAACAGATCCTGACACGGTCGAGATCGGTAAGCCTCGGAGTTTGAAAGTGCAATGAGTCGGTACTTGGCCCGGAGTTATTCGTCAGACAAGAGGAAAGGGAAGTTGATTCCTGGAACGACGGGGTGGGAATGTCCATCCGCCGTGAGTCAAATATATTTCCATAACAGCACCGTAGGGAAGGCCGGCTAAGAGTTTTCATTTGATAAAGACATACAATTCATAAATGAGGGAGGCGGCACGGTTTGGACAGACTGTGATTGAGATAGGGTCTTGTAGTCTATCATACCTTGAATTGTGATTGCAGTTATCGTAGAACTGCATGGTGCGCTTGATGAGCGTGAAATTGCTTCTTTTTTTTCTTTTCCTTTCTTTACCCCACTATCATTGACTCTTCATTATTGTCTCAATGGCATCATAGACCACATCGCCTCCAGTTCGGCGGCCGGGCAATTATTTCCTCTCCGACTTTTGTCTACTCCGTTGATCGCCGTGGACCTTGTAGGCGCAAGCCGTTGATGCGCTTCTTTTCTTCCTAAGCCTGTCTCAGCTATTTTCGTCGTCCTTGTTTATTGAAAATTTGTTCCCTTTCATCAGAGCAGCATCGGAATCATGGAAGCGTTCCTGTTGTGGCTGATCCCGCCGAACTCTCTTTTTGCTTCTGTACCCCTTCTACCGATAAACACCAGATACCCTTCCAGACATTTGTATTGATGGCGTCACACCCCCAAGGTGGATGAACCGGTGGAAAGATAAAGTATGTACTCCATAATGAAGTGTAGTCTCGAACCTTTCTTGTTTGCCCACCACCACCAAGGTCAACAGGTAGTTAAGGTGTGTACGTGTTGTACTATCGGTATGCACTGCATTCGAGCCATATGGCGCGATCATTGGATCTAAACGGCGGCTGATCTTACCGCACAGATTCTACTAGGGGTCGTCGCAATTTCAGATACACATCTTGCAGGAGACGACTTCACGACGGAGTCCGCGCTCGAGACGCACTAGTTACCATGTGTAAGTTTGTACGTAAAGGATTGGTCTATCCCTTCCTTGTACTCGGAGTCTTAGACACTGCCCTAGAGACTCTAGACCAAGAGCGGTGGAGTAGGAGGGATTGACAGCTGACGCCCCTCGGTCGATGATGGGTGCCCGAATCAACGAAGGGTGCCAATCTAGAATTGGGGGGGGTGTTGACGATCAGACCTAGAAGCCCCGCGTAGACCATATCGTCCGGAAGCCAAGACGACATGTCATCCGGATACGACAGCATGATTGGGAGGGGTTGAGCTTTTTCCCTCTCGACCCGATAAGCGTGGTTCGGTCGGTTATGGAAAAATCCAGAGAAAAATCCAGAGAGATCGAAAGGGACAGGTTGGAGGGGTGATGTGATGTGATATGATGGGCTAGGAACCAAACCGACAAATGGCTCTGCTAAACCAAAATCAAGCGTCATCACACTTTTTCAAGTAAAGTAGCTACCTAGGATTTGTGTAGGAAATCAAGGCTCGGTGGAAGTGACTCCGTAGTTACTTAGGTTATCTCCAAGTAACTTAACTTACTGTACAGTACCCCGCTCCGGCAACGCTGGAGTGCCGATTGTAGGTATGCCGATTAGAATTCCAATATAAGAATGCGGGAAGGCGACAACGGATCCGGAGAGGGTTGGAATCTAATTCTTTCTTTTCCTTCAGTCTGACCTCAATTCTCTCCACCGGATCCAGAGCAGTCACAGCGTCCAGGTACTAAAATTAGAGACCATCCAGCGAAAATTCTGTTTCAACCAGCGGAGATCGATTGCAACGGTCCCCAGTGCGTCAGTGCAGACCGTAACTGCGGAGTATCAGTTACGAGTAAGTTGACTTTGTGACTTTGCATTGGGCAATTAGGTCATCCAGGCTCCAGCTGGTGGTGAGGTAAGCAGGTGTTATTTTTGTTATGTTGCTCAATGGTCTTCTCCAAAAGACAATTGAAGACACGATTGCGCGTCGACTGTGGTGCCTGAGGCCAACAGGGGAGGGGGGAAGGCAAATCCCTCCGTTCTAGACCGCAATGGCGTGACTCTCCAAAGTGGACTTTGACGTGCTCGGCGGTTGTCACCTCGCCCTGGGGAAATAATGCGCAATCGTTTGGGGAAGAAAAGCTGACCTTCTCATCTAGGTGGTATTGCTCTACCCAAGTATACGGATAGAGTTCATTTCTAGAATCCCCCGCTGTTCATTTATATTTACCATATCTTCCTCCTTCTCCTCCTCCTCCCCCCCGCCTCCCTCGCCCTCCCTCTGCTTTTCCTCGTCATACTTCCATCGGTTCATCGGCAATCGGACATACATCCCATCGATCGACTTTCCAAGAAGGGACCGGAATCGACCACTATTCTCATGAATTGACGATTCTTGTGTCTTGTGTACCTCATTTCGGTATCCCTTGGTCACGCAATATTCTCCGAGCGAATATTTTGGGTTTACTTTTCAGCCAGCTGCACGATAACCCATCACCGCCACTTAATAATCCCGCAACGGGATCACAACAACACCCTTCTTTGGCATCAGCCGTTGCACGTGCGGTGCGGTGTACCCAGAGAACGATATCGTCATCGGTCTCCCTCATCCCCAACAATTACAAGAGAAAAAAAAGGGGCAGGAAATTCAATTTTCTCTGCAAGCCAGACAACGAGAATAAAAATTGGTATGTATGCCTCCTCGTATCAGGCTAAAATCTATTATGCCTTGTTGGAAAAGTCCCTTATCTCTCCCCACTCAGAGGCCTTTGATAACCGTCCAACAAGTCGGCCACTTCCCGTTTTAGTGGAACTGCGCCTTTATTTTTGTGACTGATCTGACCATTGCCGTGCCACTGCAGATACACCGATACACACTCCGAAAAGCTTATCGGCATCATTATCATCATAAAGAATTTGCAATCCGGCTGCTACATATTTGCCTCATTGCTGGGGTTCCCTTCCAAAAAAGAAACACAAAAAAAGGGCGCTCAGAGCTGTATTCTTAGGTCATTCCGTCGAATTGATCCAGCACATGCTTTCAATCATTGCCTCCTTTCTGGACAAGTGCGAGGCATTATTACCATCACGGGAACTGCAGTACCTCTCAGTGCCACTATCCGAGACAGGCTGGTCCAGCTGGTTGGTCCAGCTGTGCACTTGACCCTCCCCCCTGCTAGTCGCAAATCCCTCATACTTTGACCCCATCAGGGGAAGCTCTCGTGCTCCACAACTGGACGCGGCCTCCATCGGCGCAAGGTACCACCCGCCGAACTATCTCAGATAGAGCCACTTCGGTGCCTCTGGACGAGTATATTTTTTTTATTTTTTTATTTTTTGATTGCCCTATACATATACCCCTTCACCGCCATCAATGACTCAAGGCGCTTTTCATCATCGTCGCACACCCTCGGGTTCGAATGCCACTAAAGTGAGGACCTCCCGGCCGGCACTACATCGGAGAGGCACTTCCTGGGTGAATCATTCCATCTCAAAGCTAGGCTCTGGACAGCCCAACAAGCATTTGCAGGTGGAAGACGACCGGCAACCCGAGATGGCGGCCAGCTTCCTCAATTTCTGGTATGTACCTGGATTACTTCTTCTTCTTCTTGGCTTGCATTTTGTCTATTCTCTTATCTAAAGTTCACTCAAAGCTAATTGATCAACAGCGCCATGTGCGAGAGACAGATAACAGTGCCAGACAATACTCTTCTTTATTGTAGTGAAAGGTATGAGAATCTCCTTATCGTGCACAATACTCTCCAGCCACTGAGCACAGCTCCGCTGTTTAAATTTCACCTCATCGTCCCTTATCTGGCCTCAACATCCTGTTTCTCATGCTTACACTCATCCTATCTATAGCTGCCGTCGCAAGGACTCCCATAAACCACTCTCAGCATCCTTCTCATCTGCTCCCTCCATGTCTTCCTCTTCGACTCCTCCGAGCTCCCCTTTAATGTCGCCTCGGATGATTGTCGCCCCCTTGACCCCGACAAGAAGCTCCACCAGATTGTCCAGCTCTGCCCGGATACCCGGCGAGTGGCTTGATATCAAGACGGATCAGGATCCCAGCGAATGGAAGCCTGTAATACCGATGGGCAACGGTGCTCATTCTGTGGCAACCTCGGATGCCTGGAAGTATTTGTCCCAGTTCCACAACGACGATCGTGGTGTGCCGCTGCGCCGCCCTGGGCTCGGTCATCGCAGCTCCGCCAGCCTGACTACTCTCATAAGTAGCACGGGACCCGTTCCCTCGCTGACCCATACGCCGTCTACGGTCGCGTCGTCGTTCAGCAGCAACGCGTCGGATTACATGAGTCAGATGCACGATCCGACATACCGTCCTTTGCCGCCGCGACATAACCCGCACTTTTGCAGTTCGAGTGCGGCCAAAGGGGTTGAGCTGGTAGTTCCTCACGTCCATGTGCAGGCTGAGGACGTCTCCCCCGTTGACATGTCCAATGATGGGTCCATCTTTCCTGCCAGCAGTGCACTGTGGAATGATAAGCCTCTTAACAAGACATCTACCTTGACTACGACCTTGGGTGCAGTGAGCTCCGATGTGCCTATGCGTTCTGTCTGAGCATTAGGTTAGCTGTTTCGCGTACTTGCATAGTTGAGTGTTTTGAAATCATCCTCAGTTCCTCAACTATACACACCTGGGTCGCGTGCCAACTGCAACAGCGGTTTCATTCTTCTATTCTTCTTCTTCTTTTTCTTTTTTATTATCCAGTTGCAATCATTGGACAGGGAACATGATAGAAAGCATGCGAGAAACGATGTCATGAGCGATAGGCGTGGAAACAACTTTTTTTCTTTCTTGGACATGGACAACAGCAGCATATTATGGGATAGACTCTTTAATAAGCAAACAGGTGTTGGGTTTGTAATAAGGCGGATAGCGACGAGCATTTTAGCTAGACCTCACGAAGTGATTCTTCTACAACCACAATTCTAACCATGAATGTGAACCAGTGGAGCCTGCGAGTCAGGCTGAAAGTGGACACGTATACTTCAGACCTTGTACGTAGCTTGCTGTCCATCGGTCTGCAAGTCTACCGACTTACCCCAGATTTCCTTGGCTCGGCCCACCATTCTTCATCAGCCTTGTAAGCGAGTCGGACTGGTGGCATCAGCCAGGACAGGACGATACTGCAAGGTAATCTGTAAGTAGTGAGCCAACTCTGCATATCTGTCGGTACCACTGCAGATGTCAAGCATTTACAGGCACAAGGTTTCAAAACCATTAACACTTCGAAGACCTCACCCACCCTTGACTCGACACTTGAGAACCTGTTACACATTACACCTCATTTCTTCAAGCATTACAGAACACCGTACACTTTACGTACAGTAAGCTTAAACTAGCAAGTCAAGTGCGCTACCCCGAGCCGGGGGAGCAATGCCACTCAATCTAACCCCCCTCCCCCCAGCATCCATCGTATGCACGAGCAAGATAAGTAAGACCAGCACGAATGACATGAATGGCATGGATTATAGATTCCATTACACCGGACTACTAGACCTTATATAGAACTTCCCGCTTGAGGATATCAACCTTCATAGTATAAACCCGACTCGCAAGTACCAAGTCCGTTCGTACATACAGTACAGTCCATCATACAACTCGCTCTCGCGCCTGTAAACGTATACCCCAGAAAAGCAAGCCAAGGCACCACCCGACGCGGGCGTGTTTCACCTCACATCACATCACAGCAAAGCCACACCAGTCGAACTGAACTGAGCCCCTAAAGGCTCGGCGGAATCAACCCCCAGCCAACTCAATCCCTTTCGATCTGAATCAAAAATCCCCAAAGTCATCGTGAACGTGATCGGCCCACGCATCGGCGTCATCATCCGCCCAGCAGCATACATAGCATCCTTGATCGGGTTGGTACTGTTTGTCACGGTGTTAGCCAGTGAACCACCAACCGGGGTTGGGGGTTGAGTCGACGCAACGCAAGGAAAGGGCTGTGGGCACGGCACTCGTTGCAGGATAGTGTAGCATGACCTCCAGCCACAGGGCACTGGGTGGTCGAGGCATATTGAGGTAAGGAGGGGAGGGGCCGGGTTGGTCCTACCTTGGTCTTGGGACAAGTCAACAACTTGGGGTCGCGGACACAGGAGCCCACGCAGGCCTCGTTGCCGACGTCGATGCCGTGGGGACGGGTCTGGGCCGAGACGGTGGAGGCGAGGAGGGTGACGGTTGCGAGGAGGAGGGCGGAGAGTTGCATTTTGGATTATTCTGCGGGTTTTGTCCTTGTAGATGGGGGGGCGGGTGGGTGGTTGGTTGATGGTTGTGTAAATGAGTGACGAATGGTTGTTTGGTAGAAGGAGTAAGGAGTGGAACGTCTGGGACTGTCAGACTGTGGGTTGGGCTGCACGGTTCTGTTGCATCTATCTACAAGATCTTAGGCTACCGTCAACAGTGACTGGGGGGATGGAGCTTTAAATTGAGAAACCTACCCTGCGCGCCATACATACATACATGCCTACGTGATGCGTGGGGATCGGGAAGTAAGGGGATGTGGGTGAGCAGCTGGGTTTGTTTGGATTTCGGCAGGCGTTATGGGCGTTCAACTTCTGGGTCGTCGCGTGTTGACACCTTCTCGCTAAGATGGATTCTTGGCTCATCACTTGAGCTCAGTCAGGTCTCTGGGTTTGCGGTCGAGAGGGAGCAGGTGAGGAGGTTGAAGAATGTGGGCTTGAAGGGGGCGATGGGCTAGTCGGTTGGTTGGTATTCGATGGGGTTGGCTGTGGTATGTGGGTTGAATCAATTGGAAGTAAACAAGGTTGCGAGATCGGCTTACTGGATGGGAGGGAGATTGCATGTTTTTTACGTTATGTAGCAAGTTGATATTGTTATCTTTTACGTCCATCAAAGAAGGTCCAAGCAGTACACGCGTTAGAGGTTACAGACAAAGGAAGAATTTCAGTATAGAACTGAGTGTCTTTCGCCCTATCGAGCCTTCGTAGTCAAGAAACAACAATGTATACGTATACCACATCCTCGAGGTAGATGCTGTTGTTGACAGTGTGATAAACCCTTCCTCGCACAGCGAGGATATCAAGGTTGTTGAGGCGTCATTGCCGAAAGACCCGTCTGGGTCCTATAATTGAGCGGCCTGCGGAATGAAGTGACATTGAGAAGCAGTTGATAGCGGCCGCTCGACGAGAGGAAGCCGCGTCAGGAACGCAGATGCAATCCAGACAGACTTACCTCTAGCATCAGATGAAGGAGGAGGGACAATATGAGCGGAAGTGACATGTAGTTGGAATCGTCAAGCGCATGATATCCACTATGCAAGCTTTACACAGTCTAGGGATTCTGGCCACGGACGGACAAGCATCTTGGGCCCCTATCGATCTGACCGTGTCATTGTCCTGCGGATAATATTTCCGAAGGTGTAAAATGCAGAACGAGCTATTTGTAGTGTATTTCAGTGCAGCATTGGCTATGCTTCACAACGTGACCTGGCCAGATCGCATTGCCTTTAAAGAAAGACTGAACAGTCTGACCATGACAGGGGACGAGGACGAGGACGAGGACGAGGGTGGTTATATCCAGGACAGCAGCTAAATAAGATCGGGCAATCGGAGGAGAGGGAACAAATTGCGAATTCAGAAGACCTAAGCGGGAGAGAAGGTGGTTAAAACTTTGATGTTGATGCGTTTCGATTGCTGATGGCGTCGGATTGATTTGCAATACCAATGGAGGTTAATACTCACTCACCTTGACAAAAGAGGTTGTCTAAAAAGGTTCGCCGTGTGTAGAGCCTAGCTGAGCTCGACTTGACTCCATACAGCAATGGAGTCACGTATCTCACCGCAAAAGCGAGAGCTAGGCTGTTGCGAGCCTACGGCCTGGCGTTCATCAAAAGTACCATAACATCCCCAAACAGATGACAGGTAAAACCTGCCCCTGAGTGAGCGTATTAATGCAGAAGCCAACCGCAAAGATTGGTACGCAAAAAGACCTAGTCGAAAGTGCCGTGCATGCGAACAGCGGAGCCCAATAAGCGGCTCAGGAATCATTATCCATCACAGAGACAGGAGCGGCTCTCCGCCAGACTCTGCTTCTCATTTTCACATCCTCCATCTGGTCTTCCTCAAAAGGCCGTCTGTCGACCGTTTGTTGTGCTCCCACCCCCAAAGCCGGCTCCTTATGACTGCATGGGAGCTGAGATCTCACACCCCGGAAATATCTTCCATACCCGCCTTCGGGCTGTACTTGCCGGTTTGACGAGGTTTACTCCCTCCCATTGCTTATTTTAACCAAAGAGGGGCTTTTGAGCAGAGGAGACTTGCTCTACCGACAACAATCCTGGATTTACGCGCGGGAGAATTCGAATATGATTGACATGGGTGCATGAAGGCATCAATGCGTACCATCACTTCGAACTCATCGGGGCATTTCAAAGGTCCTAGCTGTTGTTTGGCTGTGTTGCTAGTCCGATCGAGCCAATGGATCCACCGACGCTTGTCAGTGCGGCTTAGAGACCAAGTGCATGTGCTTGTCGCGCGATGTAGTGGGAACGTACCCCTGGCCTGTTGAGCGATTCACCCCAAACACTCTTTCTTACACGATCGACAAATTCGCCACATGTGAAATCATAGCATCGAACGTGGCCGAGATGGGGCAGTTCAGATGTTAGCAGCTGCTAAACCCCGCCGATCCGAATCCCTGTGACCGCAAAGCAATGCCCACGAGAAAACTCAACACTCCCCCAAGCGCAGGCGCCTCTCTTTCGTTCCGACCACTTCAACAAGCCTGATCGAATTGCCCTTATGCTCGAATGGAACGCAACCGTGTCGGGTCGGCCACCTCGCAGCTTCGAACCAAGACCCGCGCTAAGGCAGACTAAGACGTGCATCGATTGCTGCCGCAACTTCCGTTGAACAAAATCAAGTGCAACATGAACGAAATAAATCAACAAGGTCATCTCAGAATACACGATACGAACCTCTCACCGGCCATGTCCTCCGATTCGAATTGTGTGCGATATTATCAGTGCCGGCCCGTGTTGGTGCCTAGAAGCTCACTGACTTGTGCCCGTTCCTATGCGTTGATAGAGCTGCGTGTGTCTGGTATTCGTGCCCTTCAATACTGCAACCCGACCCTGCGCTCTCTCAGATTGAAGAGCAAACTGAAAAAATCTTGTCCTGCTCATCTTCAAAGGTCATTCCATATATGGACAGATCGATGGCCACTCATATCCAAGTGAGGGCATCAATGTCCACAAGCTATCCACCTCTTACAAATATGACGACCCTGTCTCATGGGTATAGCTCTGTCCCTCAACACTACCACACACATCCCCCTCTCGGTCCTGTCTGTGTTCCAAAGCTCGGGGGGCTCTGCTTTGGCATTGTATGTGCCCAGCCAAGTCGTGTTTGATCGTGCGCATTCTTGAACCAGCTCTTGAGGTGTTGGTGCATCTTTGATAAAGAACGCAAGGGGATGCTCTTGGTTGGGAAGTGCATCAGACAGATAGTTGCCTGGAATCCATATCGGACCTAACTCTTTGCGGGAAAAGAGTTTTGAAAGAGGACATCACAGACTACCCCATGTTAACTCAAAAGGTTCACTGCGACCATGAGATTCGAGAAGCGGTAGGGGCGGAAAGTCTTGGATTTTCGATTGCTGATACGCGTTGACCATAGTGAACGACATGTGTTGAGTCATAAGACCTATCTTGCACGCAAGATCTCCTCAGTAGCTGCACAAAGACTGGGTGAATCAAAGACATGATGGTAGGATTATACCTCTGCGATCGTCCTGCATCTGAAGTGCCCTCCGTCGTGTTCTGGCCGGAGTCCGGGCGCCTTTCGAGATATGTCCACAATCGATTTATGTCTGTGACGTAGTCGCAAGATTGACAAGGCACATTTTTGATAGCAATCGGGAGGAGCATATGGCTAAGCCAACAGAACGTCCGTCCCAGATGACTTCGGGCGAGTCTCAACATCTAGTAGATTTGCTTGAGGGGGACAAAACTCGATATACTGCTTATCGACAAGAAGTTAGGTCGATAAAAATGAGAGCTGAAGGCCGGGTAACGCGTGTTGTCCGTTGCGAGATGCGGTTGAATGAAGGTGGCAGCTGGAGCATGTTAGCTGCCAATGGATAGCGGGACAGGTACCAAACTGTCGATCAATCCCCTGGATGAGCTAAATGATTAGCCCCAAAGGCAAGTTCTTCACTCGTGTGCAAGATGTATGGAGTCTGCAGTTTTGGCAGCAACATGACCTTCTGATGATGGCATTCGCGGCAGTGCAAAGCCAGAGGAGACAATCTGCAGCAGCGAGCCGGTGGAGAGAAGACTAGTGTGCAGCTACCGGCGGCAGCTACACGAGCATTGAATTGAGATACAGAACAATAAATCAGCTCTGAGCAGCGGGGAATTAATTGAGCCTATCTGAGAGAATGGATGATATTTCCAGAGGATTGCAGGTTTGTCCACCGGCCTTGTTCTGTTCTTCGTGATGGGCGGCGGAGACCGCCACGGGCCCAGGGATTGGTTGGGGACTTCTTCCGGGGTTTGGAGGTGGTCGAGACAAGCAGTCTTTTCCGCTCATACAACCATTCTACCACCTCCAGATTTCCAATTTGCACCTTCATCGATTTGATGGATTCTTCAATTGGCACTTTGACACCCAATCTTCCTGACTAATCCCGATTCCTGTGTTGCTGCTATGCTATGGAAACCCATCGGGGACGTTCAGCATACCAAAACGTGCCATTACAGAGCATCCGCAGCGTCCGTGATGGTCAAGTGGCCCCCCCCCCCCCGATTCCGATGGTATATTGGGTGGAGTACTAGCGATATCCAGATACCCAGTGATACTTGCCACTGAGGGTTTCGGTGTGGTTTAGGGTGAATTGTGGCACTTGTTCACTGTCTACGGGCTGCAACTCAGGCTCGATTTGTGACGGTTTACCCCTTCTGTAGGCGCCAGTGAGCCTATCAGTCCACCCTGTCCCCCAGTTTGTTTGGCCTAAAAGGCATGGATATCTTTTCCTCCCTCGTCTCTCTCTCTGTCTGGTTCCAACCTGGAAGATGAAGGCTCTCCCCTACCACGCAAAGAGCTGATGCGCGGAAGTGTCGGTTGAGTGTGCGACTCTTCGGACACCGCATTGACTGCTCAGGGGGTCAGCCTCAGCCGACTGCCAGTCTGCCAGCCTGTCACTCTGTCTAGGAGGGACTAAACACTACTCATTGCACTCTTACTTCCTATCACTGCAACTTTCCCCCCTCCCTGGCCGTCCAGATATCATCCCGTCGATAGTGCTCCGTCTCAGTGGGAATCAGCCATTCTTTCCTACTATTCCATTTTACGCCCAGCCTCATCATTTTCCATACCTTTCTATTGCGAGAATCCCCTGACGTACTCAACCGGATCATCACCAGAACCCCGTGTCGCTCCCGTCTTGTGCAGCCTCTCAGCCACTACCCC